TGGAGGGTCAGAGAAAAAGAGGAAGACTCCCAACTAGATGGATTGGCCAGGTGGCAGCATTGATGGACTCAAGTGTGGCAGCGGTAGTGAGATTAGCCCAGGATCGGACGTTGTTTCGTTCTGCTGTGAATGGGGTCGCTATAAGTCGATTCCGACTCAATGACATCGAACAACAACAACAACTCATTGTGATGCTGTGTAGAATTTCTGAGGCTTTAAACCTTTATGTGAGTAGAAAGAATCAGCGTTCTTCCATGAAGCAGCTGGTGGATTCGAACTGCTGACCTTGTGAGTAACAGCCCAATGGGTAACCCACAGTGCCACCAGGGTTCCATTCAGTATTGAATAAGAGTGGTGATAAAGGCCATCCTGGCCTCATTCCTGTTTACAAGGGAAATACGCTCAGTCTTTCTCCAACAAGAATAATGCTAGCTACTGATTTTGCATATATACCATTAATTATATTGAGGAATTTACCTTCTATTCATATTTTACTGAGAGTTTTTATCAGAAAGGATGTTGGATTTTATCAAATGGTTTTATACCTCTCTTGAGATGGTCATGTTCTCTTCTTTTGCTTTATTTATGTGGCTAATTATGTTGACTGATTTTCTGATGTGGAACCATCCTTGCATCCCTAGTATGCATTTTCTTTCTTTCTTTTTTTTTTTTTAATATGGTGTTGAATTCTGCTGGCTAGAATTTTGTTGACAATTTTTGTATCTATATCCATGAATGATATCAATCTGTTATTTTCTTTTTTAGCGATGTCTTTGCTTGGCTTTGATATGAGGGTTTTGCTGGCTTCACAGAATGAATTACGACATATTCTTTCCTTTTCTGTCTTCTGGAATAGTTTGAGTAGAATTAGTGCTAATTCTACTCTAATGTTTGGTAGAATTCTCCACTGTTATTGTCTAGACTGTGCCTTGTTTTGTTGGAAGTTTTTTTAAAAAAAGTATTTTTATTGTGGATTGAGTACAAGTTTACAGGGCAGATCATCAGTTTTACATTCAACGAATCATACACCTTGTTTCATTACAATGATTATAATC